CTTCAAAGACAACAGTTTTGAAGCCTCATTTGTCTCCCAATAAACTTATTTATTTCCTTCAAAGCTACTAATAAAAGTCACCTGTCTGGATCGTATCATTCCTAACACCGATGCTTGTGTATTTGTTGTGAGCTGCGAGAAAAGCAAGAACAGTCATTCAAAAAACCGAATACGGTATGGACAGCCGATGGGATTAGCCATGACACCAAAACAGGAGTCTCAAAGCTACGTCTTAAGCTCCCTCCTAGATTTATCAAAACCCTAGGAAAAAACAAGTCCCCAGAATGCAATCTGAACAGCTTTCAATGTGCAGATGTCTGGGTGCAGATATTCAAGGTAATGTGGCCTGATAGAATAAGCAATTAAGAGCTCCAACTATCTACAATACTACAAGCATTACCGGAAAAGAGAGAGATGGATTTGGGACATGGAGAATTTGGAAAATAGGCTACCCGAACCAGCCTTTCTTAGCAACCCCACAGCAAAGGATAGATGCTGAAAGCATTCGGGGCATGCTTCCCGGTGTGGTGCTGGCTGAAGTGGCATTATTACAACTGAATAGAAAAGGGCTTGGAAAAAATGAGTCCAGGAAAGGGACAATTGGTGCCATTTGGCTTTTGAGAGGTGTGGAGAGTTGATGATGGCGATGCAGTTGAGGCAGGGATCTCAAATCGTCCCTGCTAGGTTGGTATTGTTTTAAGAGCTGGAGTGATACCGGGGCCATCAGTGAACGAAAGGAAATCCTTGCAGAAATAATATAAGGGGCAGAGTGACTTGCTCAGTGTAAAGTATTTCTCCCTGGAGGCAATCCCATCCCCAGGTTCAGCTTGAAGACTAAACTACTTCCCCAAGACCATTCACAAAGTACAGGAAGGGCAGGGATTGAACCCAGGTCTAGCCTGACATGCTAGCAACTGGGCCATTACTCTTCCCACATAGCAAGGCTCTTCATGGGACCCAAACCTCCCACATCTATTTAGGAGCTTAACTCCATCCCATCGGCAGGAATTGAATGCAGCTGTCTAGGTGCTTTTGAACCCAGGTAGCCACCTGTCAGTGTTTATAAATGTCTAAATGCCTTTGAAAATCCAGCCCTGAGGAACCATTTCCCAAGGCCTTTGCTTCCTTCTCAATAATGCAAACTTTAGGTCTCAGCCCTGCAGACATTTGCTCACATCAGCAGGGATCCTGGTTTTCTCTGATAAAAAAAATCCCCAATTTTCAGATTAAAAAAGTAACCCCAAATCCAAATTTTTCTGCAATTAAAATGAAACACCACTAATATATAGATATCACTATATATATCTATATATAATTTAGATATAGATAATAGATATATATATATTGCTATATAGATATAGCAATATATATAGATATATATTGCTATATCTATATAGCAATATATATATCTATTATCTTTATACGTCGGTGAGTTAAGTTGTTCCCACCTAGGGACCAACCACGCGAACACACGCACACGAGCTACTCTAGTTCTCTCACATGTGATGGGACTATACCCACGGTTAAGCTTACTAAAGTGCAGGGATCCTGGTTTTCACTGATAAAAAAAAAAATCCCCAATTTTCGGATTAAATCCACATTTAATGCTATATAGATATAGATATAGCTAGATAGATAGCTATAGATATAGCTATAGAGATAGATAGATAGATAGATATAGCTATATATCTATATCTATAGCTATATCTATATCTATCTATCAATTTTCAGATTAAATCCACATTTAATGCTATATAGATATAGATATAGATATAGCTAGATAGATAGATATAGCTATATAGCTCTATATATATCTATATCTATATCTATCTAGCTATATCTATATCTATATAGCATTAAATGTGGATTTAATCCGAAAATTGGGGATTTTTTTTTTTATCAGCAAAAACCAGGATCCCTGCACTTTAGTAAGCTTAACCGTGGGTATAGTCCCATCACATGTGAGAGGACTAGAGTAGCTCGTGTGCGTGTGTTCGCATGGTTGGTCCCTAGGTGGGAACAACTTAACTCACCAACGTAGCTCCAAGGAACCAGCAGGATGACTTGCATGTGCACGCTTACTCGCATGCACAAACAGCTGGAAGATCAGCCCTTAGCAACAAAGAAAGTTGCCTGTGGAAGCGATTTGCATGTTGTAATAAAGAAACTTATGATGTACTTCAGTAGGGTTGGGGGCTGAACACATGCCTATTATCAGGGATCTGCTTTATGCTAAGACAGCCTGGCATTGTGCACTGTATAATGAATTGCAGCAAATACAGCTGCTTATTGTTGCTAGTTATTTTTGGGTTCATTTTCCTAATGATGTATGTAAATATCTGCCATTAGCATTAATGGCAATTGCGCATTTGGACCAATGAAAGAATAGAGCTTTCTGTCCCTGCAATGGGGCAGTACAATAGAAAATGTCACGACAATTATTTTAAAAATTTGCCTTTGTGACACCAGCCGCTTTGTTAGCATTGGATACAGTTTGCAGACGTCTCCCCAAATGGTACTTTGACGTAGTTCTTCACCTCCTTGCAAGTGGCACAGCTTTAATTGGTCTTTGGAAGGTCCTCTTACACTTGTTAGCACCACAATATATGCAAAAAAGGCTAAGCATTGATTAACCTTAAGCATAAGTGCTCCATTGAAACCAATGGGACAACATGCATGTTCGGTGGAAAGGAGGGACCGAAGTGTTTTGCCTGAAGCTAAGCGCATGCTTATGTTCTTGGCTAGACTTCTTGGCACTTTGAGTCCTGCCTTAGGCTGAGATATGGCCAAACAGTCAAGTTCAGTAACCAGTCTCTAAAGAAGTGCTTGAAAATCGGTCGAGATTAGACAAGGATGACAGTGAACCTCAACCTAGACCAGCTGTTCCCAATCTTGGGGTCACAATCCTATTTGGGGTCACAACAATAAAAAATGGGGTTGCAAAGACGCTTGACAGCATCGACCTATTATGATGGATATGCTTCCTATTTATAAATATAAAAAGGAATAAATATGTTATAACTATAAACAGGAGTAAATATAAGCAGGGTTGTTTAATGGCAGGGCACCACAGTAAATATAATCCACAGGTCAAGCAATTGAAATAAACATCAAATAAATGCACTTAATAGCTTATTAAGACTTTGTTTTCATCGGTTTTTAAATCTAAAAAAGAAGTTGAAATGATTTAAAATGTTGAATATGAAAAATATGAAGACCATAATGATTGTAATGCCGTTTTCATGACTTGTGGAGCTTGTCTGCATCATTTTGGGGTCGCAAAAAATTTCCAGTGTTTAAATGGGGTCATGCTGAGAAAAAGGTCGGGAAGCCCTGACCTAGGGTTTTCTATTAACACTTTGGACCTAATTCAACATTTCTCACTGGCATAAAAGCAAGGAATCACCGTGGACCATCATGCCCTGTCTTGACAGTATACTCACACGGACATTCACATACGTTCCTATGTATCTTGCGTAGACCTCCCTGCAGTACGCAGGGCTACACATGCAGTTCGTCCAACTCTCGCTGCTCTAATGCAGCACAGGTGAATTGTCTTATGAGAATTTACCCCAGCTGAATGTTTGGCCCGGTATCTTGATAGTCAAGGAACTGTCTTGTCAAAGCAAGCACCTAAGCTATTGGCACAAGAGGTGAGCAGAGGAAGAAACACATCCTTGTGAGCACAGTCCTGTCTGCACATGCAAATGGGGTGGGTATCATGACACATTTTTAACTATTTTCATAAACATTTTATTTCTGGGGGGCTTTTGAGTTGCCCCCCTTTTGCCTACTGTGAGCTTGGGATAACGCTTCCAACATTTCCGAAGCAATTACAAAACCGGCGTTCCAGCGGAAGTCAGTCCTCAGATTCCCAAGGGGATTATAGGTGCCAAAATATATCCAGTGGGATTTTCAAAAAATGATTAGCCATATTAAGTGTCCACCTCCCCGTGAGTCCATTAGGATTTCGGCACCTAATCTGCTTTGGCATTTTCCAAAATCCCAACTAAGTAATTCCCTGCAACTTTAGGCAGCTTAAGTCACTTTACTTAGGCTGCTTTTGAAAATGTTACTGAGAATCATCCACCTAAATAGTTGTAACAACACCCCAAGCCTTCAAATGACAGCATTTAGAGAACAGCAGGGACAGTCTCAAAGTAACTTGATAAAACACATAGTAGAGATAATATTTTTACAATTTAAATGAATTTTGGATGCATAAAACATTGCCTACATTTTTGCCCCCAAACACCCAAAATCCATATTGCAAGGCAACAGAGTGAAATGATGTATAAGCAGCCATAAATGTTAACCCTTCAAGCTCTCCACTGTGGATGACTCCTGACAGATGTGATGAAAACACTTGCAATAGCTAGTGAAATTTAACAGTCTACCAAGAACATCCAACAGGAGAAGCAGCAGACTTTTGGACTTGGTAAAAACTTTAACTACACTGGCAAACACATAGTTGCTTTTCATTTTTGTTATATTTAGAAAATGAAGTAGGGAAACAAGACTTCGTTTGAGACTTTATCTGGGCAATAGAAAACATAACAGCACCTGGGAAAAGCCTGAGAGTGGGATTTTTTAACTGTTAATATTATAAATATGATGCCACGTCCCCGTAGCCCACAGCTTAATGTTGTAGACAATCACTGAACAGCTAAAGATGTTGCCTTCGGTTTCCAAATGAAGCAGGTGTGTATAACAGAGCCACTTTTATTTTTCTCCCTAACTGTGAACATGGCAGCAGTCCACAATCTGGCCATACACAGGATGCTAGTTAATACCTAGGTTTTATGTCCGGTAAGCTGATGTATTCTCGTTATTATCCTTGTGCATAGCTGCTGTTACCAGGCTGCAAAAGCCGGGTTTGACATTTAGCTCAGAGCTGGTATGACAGATGCTGCCGTAGCAAGGACGGGAGGGTTCCCCTTCCTTATATGCCTCTTAACTCAGAAGCAGAGTAAAACAAGAGAGAAAAATGGCTGACTTACCCCATGGCGATGCTCGAAGTAAGCCAGCTTGGACTTGGTTAAGACGAAGAAGCGCACTTTGTAGTTGGAGGGAGATGTTCTTCTTTTCTGCTGGGACTTCTTGATCAGCTGCTCCTCCAGGAGGATGCAATTATTCATGGTTTGGTAGGGAACGGTCCTGGCCCAGGACAGAGAGCTTCTGCCGCAGCTCGGCACACCACACGCGCCCCAAGAGAGACACGAGAAGGGAGACAGTTAATTTCTCACCAAAAGGTGTTCAAAAGGCAGCGTAGGTGCTCTGAGCTTTGTCTTTCCGTCTGTCATCTAGGCAACGCTGTCAGGCTTCCTTTTTGTCAAAACCATAACCACATCCTCTCCAGTCATGAAACGAACAGCACATGCTGAGAAATGCTCCAAGGTTAATGTTGTGGGAAAAAGTCACCTTTGGAGGGCACTCAATTAGGGTGACTTCAAGGATCAGGGATCAACGGGGCAGGACGGAGGGACACCTGGGCAGTACCCAGTCCAAAGAGCTCAGGCTGAATTTGGACCGAAGGGAATGGCATCTTCCTTGTCCTCTTAGAAGTAGGTTGTGAATCCAAGCCCCTCTCACAGACACCTGGCGTTGTCGTGCCCACCGCGTGTTTATCAGTTCAGGACTTTACTTAATGCCTTACATTTAAAACTTCTTTTCAAAGAAGTTGTCTCTATAACCATCGAGTCTCTGACATGGGAGTAAAAGCAAGTTGCAGATTAAACAATGGGATCATACGGCAATGATGTAGAAACAGAAATTGCCATTTTTTTAATATCATCCATTAATCTCTTGCCTGTCACTGGATTTTCCAGATGTGCTTGGAGGAAGACAATTAATCCCTGCTGTGTGTCCCAGGAAAATCGCGATGCAACATGTTCTCAGTACATACAGCACGGGGCGATATAATTGGTAGCAGTGGGGTCTATATACTGTACCAGGAGTTAATGGTTTCCTTAGCTTTCCAGTGCAGCAGACCAGAAAGTCTGCAACAGCTTCAGGAGAATTAAAAACCAGAGAATGCTTTAGATGAATTCATTCGTTGTTTTATCTGATATCAATTGGGATTAATTGTGCTTCACTTCTGTGTGTCAACATATCGTAGCCTTGGTATTGATGCAGTATAACTACATGGTAGAAGCTGCTGGGTAATGGAAAAGGGGACAATGAGAAGGAAACAACTGGGGTTTGAGCAAAGACAAGCAGGTAAATGGGCTGTGTCACCAAACAACATTAGCTGGGTCTTTCTGGGTGTGTCTACACATGTACTTTAATGCGCATTAGCCTATTTTAATGCACATTGTCATAAAAACCGTGCGCTTTCACTAATGCAGATTAAAATAGGTTAATGTGTCTTTTTCTAGTACTTCAGAATGGAGGCACTAAATTTAATGCGCATTAATGAACATGTAGACGTGCCCTCTGACAACTATTCCACTGTAGCATTATTGCAAGCAGTTGCCTTTTCAAATAGCACCCCTGGATTTCAGGGTTTGTAGCATACTAAAATGAATGGAGACAGTTTGCACCTCCCTTTAATTCACTCTTTTTTGAGGATGTCTGCCAACTCCAGAGAAAGCGCTATATTGGCCTGAAATTAGCACAGGTAAAGAAAGGTGTCTTCTCAAGCAGAAGTTGGACACTTTTAAAAATAAAGACTTTTTTTTTTTAGATGTTAGAACCTAGTTCTGTTGCTGGGGCCATTCTGCGACACATTCGATGAATTCACACAAAACTTTGGGGGCTTGGGAGCAATATTTTTCAACATGGGTTTGCTATGCAAAGATCCCTGCAGAATATACCTGCTGTGCTGCTGCATGTTGCATTGAGTTTGGGTACAGCCTTCCAGGAGCGTCTTAATCGATCATCATGGGGGTCTTCTGCTCAAGTCCTGTAGAGATTCTGCCTTCCCCCTAACAGTTGAGACCTGCCATATAAATCAGGAGGGGAATTTTGCAAAAAATACCATGAAAAATGGAAGAATAGGAGACTGTTAAAGAAGAGTTGTACAAATTAGGCCTGAGTTACTCATGTGTCTCTCTTGCAGAAGTGATACAGTGCTTCTACACATAGGCAGAAGCATTGTGTGCTAGACCAGAAGGGCTGCCGGCCATCTCTGTACCTCCTTCACGAAATGATAATTAGCTCCAGGGAAACCTTACGGTTCTGCAGGGGAGCTGATTGCTGTTGCTCTCAATGCATTTTCTCCTGATTTCACCACTGTGGATGATTTGGGGATCAGGCCTCAGAGGTTCACACAACATAACCTACTTAGTCATGATTCCTTATTTACGATCACATTGTATATGTCTCTCATTATTTTATGGTTACGCCGTGTGCTCCGGGCATTGCAGAAAGGCAAGTCTGAACAAGCTGCGCCCGGGTGAACTCCACAACCTAGTGCCAGACTACCTGCGAGAGCAGCCAGTGGTTTTCAGCCTTTTTGCATTTAAAGACCCCTAAAAAAATTTGAACGGAGGTGTGGAATGGCCTATGAATTGTGACTTTTTTGAGCGATCGTGGTCATCTTTTGCAGCCTCTTTAGACATAGCCTGCAGACCACAGGGACCACAGGGTGAAAACCACTGGTCTAAGCCATGTGTAGTGGGTTCATTTGGCAGGCAGGAAATGGAGGCGTGCAATGGTCAGTGAACCCTAAAAACCTGGGACAGAGATAAGAAGCTGACAAACAGGCAGCTGAGGGTGGTAAGACTGGGCTGGTCGAGCAGGGAGGATGTGGGCAGTAAAGAGATGCTTGACAGGGGGGGTAGGCAGGGAGAGGCAGCAGGAGCGATGACAAAAAGCGTGATTATCTCAGCGTGATAAGCGCTGGAGAGCCCATGGAAGGATGTGCAGAGAGCACGACTTGATCAAGCGCAGAAGCTGGGGGGCCAGCAGCTGCAATTAAGCAGGAAATGATCCACGTGCTCGTTAGCAGCCAGAAAGAAAGACAGTGCAATAGTCACAGCCAGCTAGAAGCAAGGACCAAACATGTGGTTGGACTCCATGGATGGAGGAAGAAGGCAGGACTTGGGAGATGAAATGGAGAAAGACCGAAATGATATGGTTTCAGCTGGGATGTGGAAAAACAGAAGTACAAAATGACTCGTGATGGTGGCTGTAAGGGACAGGGAGTACGATAGATAGGTCGAGACTAGGAGAGAAGGCGCAAACTCACAAGGACTTGGGAAGAAAGATTAGTAGTTCGGTTTTATCCAGGTGAAGCTTCAGCTGATGATAAAACATCTAAAATATCAGACAGCCAGGGCCAAATGTGGGATCAAATGAAGGCAGGAGACAAGGCAGTGGAGACTATGTTAAATTTGTGAGACTCGAGGTGACTGCAGGGAGAGCTGAGGATTTCTCCTGACTTTGGAAACCCAGTCTAATTATTTCGGTTGCTACATATGGGCCCTCCGCTTAGCTACCCGTTTTGGCCGTATCAATCTACTTAAAACTTTCTTACTTGTAGGGTGCCAACCACTTTCATTAGCAGGGGTGGTAGACATCTAAGGTACTGCTGTTCATACGTTTCCCCCCTGCCTGTCACTTAGTCTGGGCAGTGAAACGGGATGGGTTGGCTTCAGAGTCTCTTTCCACGCTCCTGTTGCCTGAGCTTCCTAAACGATGGGGAAGTACATCTATCAAATACGTATCCTTGTAATGCTACTTTTTAACGAACAAGACCCAAAATGTGGCCATAAATGACATTCCCAGACCATCATGACTACAGCATCACCCCAATTCCATAGCAATACTGGTAACATTTCTATAACTGTCTAAAAGAGCACACACCAACTGCTGAAACTTCCTTAGCCTGACGAAGGGTTTTTGAACCTGAAAGCTTGCTTAATAACTATTCTCCAACTATTTGGGTTGGTCTAATAAAAGATATCAAATTCACCCAAGGAACCTTGTCTGCCTAAGAGCCAAAGTATTATTTTTACAACAACTAAATACAGTAAGAGCTTGAGTCTTATTGAAAGTCATGACATGGGCACATGACAATTACTACGGAGGAACTTAACCCCAGATTTTTCTCCGTGGTAGACTTCCAAGCAGCTCTCCTAACTAGCTGGGCTCTATGCAGAGGCTACCCCAAGGATGAAGATTATTAGGGGAGTAATATACCATGTGTCTGCACCCAGAGTGGGAGTTACACCTTGTAAGGGCCAGATTTACAGTGCTATTTAGGCACTTAAATAAATTGAGCCTGGTGGGATTTACATAAGCAAGGTAGACACCTCTCTGGGAGTCAGGCACCTAATCCTTTTAGGCATCCCATCAGACAACAGGCCCATCGCTGCAGGGGGCTGTGTGCCTTTGCAAATCTGGTCTGAAGTGGTTGTTGCTTTTCAAAAGAGGACTCAGATTTGTCCTGCACTTCGGGAAATGTCCCCCAAGTCCCCTTAGTACTGCGTACTTCTGCACTGACTTGAATGCAAATGAAGTGTTTAAAAGCTGCGGGGTGGAGAATGCAGATCTCATATCAGTTTATCTTAGTACCTATGGCCCCGACTCCATTACTTGTGCTTCCTTTTTCTCTCACCTTCCTCCATCCCTCGCTGCTTCTTGCACCCTACCCCCTTTCAATGTTGAAAAAAAACCCCTTTGTTTTATGGATTGGAGTTTTCTTAGGGGATTTACCCAGAGATTATGCAGTTTACACATGTATTACTGTAGACTGTGGAAATCTCCCCACCCGCACATCCTGCTCTGATACCAGTGCTGGTATCCTGAAGGCGGCAGAGAAATTTATAAAGTTATATATAGCAGTTTTTGTTTTCTTAAAGAAAAAGAAAAAGACAGCAAATGCATCGTCTCTCTCGGTTGGATACCTGGCAGTTTTCAACCTGGGGGCTAGATTTCCTGCGTCTGCTTGGGGTGACCTTTCTTTAAGGAGCAGTCCTGTGGTCAGACGCAACTCTCCAAGTCAGGAGCTTGCCATCACATGCCCACTTCTCTCTCTGGGTATATCGTTCATGGTCAGTGGAGTAATTTTGTGATGCATTCCCTGACATGAATGAAAGCCCCTCAGCTGACAGCTCTACAGAAAGGTATTTGGAGGCAGCTTTGCCCTTCCCCTGCCTCGTGGATCTGGCCGTAATCACTGCAGGGCTTTATCATCAGTCAGGTGTGCTCATGTCATTTTAAGTTTTAAAGGGGGCTGTGAGAGTCTCTCTGTGTCTCTCGCTGAGCTGGCTGCCTTCTCCTGGGATCACTTCTTCAGTGCATG